CTAGTTATCCCCTTTAGTATAGTAAATATACTAAGCACCTTTTAATAATATATTAACTAAATCTTTTAGGACTTCCTAGATAAATTCACCTCTATATATATTAATAATATACTAATCTTTATAGATAGTTCTCTTACTAAGTATTAGCTATATATCTAATAGGTGCTAGAGCACCTAAAGAATATAGGACTATAGCTAGATATTAATAAATATAAATTTAAGATAAAGAGTACTAAATATCTTAGATTTATAGTAAAAGCTAGTAAGGGTATATAGATAGACCCTACTAAAATAAAGATAATATTAGAATAGTAAGCCCCTATCTCTATATATAGTATATATTTATTCCTAGGCTTTATAAACTTCTATTAATAGTTTATATAGGACTTCTTAGATATAATATAATCCTTAATAGTACTAATATATAAGGGAGCCCCCTTTATATAGAGAGATAAGTAAATAAAGACCTTTAAATTATTAAAAAAGATATTTATTATAGCCCTAATTCTTATATAGTTTAATCCTAATAGAAAGATAGTAATTAAGATAGATATATCTAACTAGGTAATAGGAGCTACTCTATCCTAGTATAATAATAATAATATATTAAGGCTAGTTATCTATATCTCTAAAAAGAATATATCTATAGAGTATAATTATAAAATCTATAATAAGGAGTTACTAGCTATTATTAATACTCTTAAGAAGTAGGAGTTAGAATTAATTAGCTTACTATAATTTAAGCTTATTATAGATTACTATAATCTTAAATACTTTAAGATAGTCTATAGGCTTAATAAATAATAGATATATTAGTTATATACCTTAAGCTAATTTAACTATAAGTTATATTACTAGTCTAGAAAGCTTACTATATATCTAGATACCCTATTATATAGGGAGTAAGATATACTATAGGATATAGATAATAATAGACTTAAGATATATAACTATTATTTAGTACTACTTAAGGTTATTACTAGCTAGATATATATATAAGTATTTTATAACTATAAAGTAGTATCTAATCTAGATATAAGATTACTAAATAACTATAATAATTAATTACCTTTACCTCTAGAAGAATACTAGAGGGAAGCTATGCTAGATAATATTAATCTATAGAAGATATACTAGGCTATAGAGGAAAGGGCTATATAATTTCTAAAGAAGCTTAGTATCTAAGTATTAATTATTAAATATTTAATATTACTAGATAATTACCTACTATACTAAGGTTAAAAATAGGTCCCTAATTCTAAACCCCTATAAATAAGAATTCTATAAGAGATCTATAACTTAGTATTAATAGGCCACCCTAGAAAGAATATACTATATATAATAATTACCTAGAACTTCTACTAGCCAGAGCTCTCTGCAGATATCTAATAATTTATAAAGAACTATAATAAGTGTAGTACTAATTATATATAGTATAAATAATATTAGGGGCTATTAAAACCCTTACTAATCTTAGATTATAAATAGTAAGAGATTACTATTAACTTTATTACTAAACTACTAATCTCTAATAGGTGTAAAGATATTATAGTAATAGATAATAGACTTAGAAAGGGTATAATCTTAGTACTCTATAAATAGATAAACTCTAAGATAGTAGTATAACTACTAATTAATTAATTTATTAGATATTATAGTATTCCTAGTATAATTACTTTAGACTATAGTCTATAGTTTATTAGCTAGTTCTAGGAATACTTTTATAAATAACTAGGTATTTAATAATATCTCTTAATAGCCTTCTACCTATAAATAGATAAGTAGATTAAATAAATAAATATAATATTAGAGGCCTACCTTAGGAACTTCTATAACTATATATAGACTAATTAGAAGTTATTACTACTAATAGCCTAACTAGTAATTAATAGCTAGGATATAGTAAGTATAGAAGTTAGCCTATTCTTCCTAGATTATAGATATAATATTAAACTATTAGAGATTAAGAAGCTAGACTATAAGGTAGCTACTATCTATATAATCTATTTACTAAAGACTAAGACTAAAGTAATTATAATAAAAATAAAAAAAGCTATTAATATAGTATAGTTAGAACTAGCTATAGCCTAGTAGTACTAAGAGGAGTATTTAAACTACTCCTACCTAGTAGCCCTATAATATATTATTAAATTAAAAGTATAGTTAGACTTATAGAATATTTAAATAGATCACCTAAGCAGAAAGCTTAATATATAGTATATAAAATTTATAGTACTTAAAGCTATTAGATTATATACTTACTAATTAGATATACTACCTAGTATATATAATATATTCTATATTAGTCTACTACATCTCACTGCCAGCAATCTATTCCTAAGCTAGTTAAATAGTAATTACTAGCTACTAGTAGTCCTAGTTAATGGTAAAGTAGAATATACTATTAAGGAGATCTTATAGGAGTATAAGAAATATATTAGATAAGGCTATTAAATAGAGTATCTTATTAAATAGGTAGGCTATAAGCAGCCTACTTAGGAACTAGCTATAAACCTTACTAATATAGTAGTACTTACTATATAGGAGGTATACTAGCCTTAATTTAGAGGGGGGGATAGTATAGTAGGCAGGGCCTACTAAATACTTAAGCCTACTAGATACTTATGATCTACTTTAGGTACTAATAAACTCCTATCTAGTAAGGATACTAGTAGTTATATAACTCTTATAGTAATTAATATAGTAATTAATCTTATTATATGATCTTGCCCACTATTTATATACTCCTTTTTATATTTGGCTGTCACAGCCCTAGTTAGAACCTTTCAGCAATTTCTTACTGTCCAAATCTAGGTTATAGATTTATTAGGCTTCTAGCCCGTGACACCACTCACCTAATATAATAATCTAATAATAACTATTATTAAGGAGCTTAAAATTAGACTAAATATAGAATATCTTTTATAGTTAGCCTATCCTCTATAAGATATTCTATATAATAGGCTATAGCTAGATATAAAAAAGATTAATATAATAGGCCTATAGATTATCTTATTAATTAGGTTAGCTACTATAGAGTATATTCCTATACTTTTAGTTCTTTACTAATCTTAATAGATCTCCTAGCTATAAAGTAATTTTAATAGGTATAATTCTCCTATATAGGACTTAATATATTTAAATCTTATACTATCTTTAATATATATTCTATAGTAAGTTCCTTTTTATCTTAGTTTATAAGCTAGTATAAGTAGTAGTAGATAATATAATATATAATCCTATCCTCTATCTACTATTCTTTATATTTATATATTAATAGGATGTTCTTCTAATTTACTATTTATTAACTAAGCCTAAATTCTTTATTAATATATTAATTATAAGTAGTTTACTATAGTAGTTATTATCCCTTTTACTTTATTACCTATAGTAAATTAATTATACCTAAATTATCTTTATTTATTTTTATACTATAGGCCTCTATTATATTACTCTCTAATACTAATATATATAAGTAATTAATTATATATATTCTATAAATTATTATTATAGAGAATCCTAGAGACTTTTATATCTATATATATTCATTGCTAATACTAGCTGAATTCTAAATAATAATAATATTATTATTATATAACTATTTTAAAATATTCTTAAACCAAATTAAACCTAGTTATATTCTAAGTTTTATTATTTATTATAACTTATTAAAGATAGTTATAAGAGGTTTCTTAGGTAATTAATAGTTATTACCTCTAAGGGTAAGTTAGAAAAGGCTTTCTATATTATCTTAGTATTAGTTAATTTACAGAATCTAACTAATTTAAATCATTTATCCTAATTACTAATGGCTATCATGTGATTAATAATACGATTGGCCCTGGTCATAATGGCTTTAATGAGGCAACTCAGGCACCTAAGTAGTTCCACTCCTCTATGCGATTGGGTCTCTCTAGATGATCTCAGCCGGTCTTCTACATCCGGTGCGGCAACCTCTTTCTGTATATATTGGAAGGATTCCTCAGCTGGCCAGGGGTGTTATCATGGTTGAATCCATTGGCCGCTGTCCACAACCCTATTCTTGAATCTTCCATTAGACTTTCTTTCCTTTATAGAGATGAAAATCTCAGCGCATAAGGTTCGACTGCGCGTCCCGACAATGTCTCATCTCAGTCTAAACAGTTATCGGGCCCGATGGGCTCGGGGAAAGAAAAACTTGATGTGACCGATAGCCACGTCCCTTTCCTCACATGGCGTCCATTGTTACTTGGCCTATTTGTGTCTATTGGCGGCATCATATTTAGCTATGACACGGGCCATATTTCAGAATTTCTTGAGATGAATGATTTTAAGCGCAGATTTGGTCAGCTGTGAAATGACGAAGATATAGCTTCAGCAATGTATGATCCGGCCTCATTGTTTCTCTGGTGTGTACTAATCAGCTATTTTTGGATAAGTCTAGAGATGTGCAAGTGCAAAGAATTTCTAATGACAAGCATGTTGATAGCTGTCCATTAGGACTCTGCTAGGAGTTTTTACTAGCCAGGGCCACTGGCAGGTTAAGTCGGCCGTAAATGGTTGATTGCGCTTTGGTACGTCATTCTCTAAGTTGGTCTGATCATACAGGTATCCTCTCCAGCGCTGAAATGGTACCAACTAATGATGGGACATTTGTTCACTAATTTTGATGTTGGGGGCATGTTCTTTATTGGTTCTGATGTACCAAGGCGAGAGTGCCTCTTGACAGGTTCGCGGGGCAATGGTTTGGCAGGAATCTTGCTATTCTTCAGTCTGGTTATGCACTTGGAGCGTCTGACGTCGCGTTCCGCAGCTCGTATCAATTATTTGTGACATTGAGGATCTTTGTCGCATACTGCAGCAATTTCAGCACCCAATCAATGGCCAACTCCGGCTCGTGGCGTATCACTCTTGGAATCACATTCCTCTGGGGCTTAATACTAGGGATAGGAATCATGTTTTTCCCGGAAAGCCCGCGCTATGATTATCGTCGTGGAAGCATCGACCAAGGGAAAGGTACCATGTCAAAGCTCTACGGGGTGCCCCAAAATCATCGTGTGATTTTGGAGGAGCTCGGCGAAATCGAGGATCAGCTCGAGGCAGAGAGTGCGTCTAAAGGGGGATGGCATGGCTGGGTCGAGATGTTTCGATGACCTCGTATGCCGTACCGGACCTTCCTCTGTATCGTGCTACAAGCCTCACAGCAGCTGACCGGTTCTAATTACTTCTTCTACTACGGCACTGTTGTGTTCAATGGAGCCGGTATCAAAAACACCTACACACAGATGATCCTTGGCGTTGTCAATTTCGGCACGACATTCGGTCTGTATGTCACCGAGCACTTCGGGCGTCGCAAGTCACTCATCACTTGGGGCATTTGGATCTTCGTATGTTTTATGGTCTTCGCCTCTGTCGGGCATTTCTCCTTAAATGTCCATGATTTTCCTCAGAAGCCTGGTGCCGGAAAGGCAATGGTGGTGTTCGCATGCTTGCTTATCACGTGAGAATCTTCTAGTCTCCCTCTCAGATGCTTCGTGATACTTTGGTGGAGTCAGGAGGCTGGTACTGATAACGGATTTGAATCTAAAAGTGGGTTCGCCATCACATGGGGCCCTATGGTGTGGGCGATAGTCGCTGAGATCTATCCATCGCGGTACCGCGCGAGGGCCATGGCATGGCCACGGCTTCGGACTGGCTTTGGAATTTCCTCATTGGCTTCTTCACCCCGTTTATTACCGGTGACATTGACTTCGCGTACGGTTATGTCTTCGTCGGATGCCGGTTTGCTGGGGTCCTGATCGTACTTCTGCCTATTGGAAGGCAAGGGCAAAACTCTGGAGGCGATGGACATGATGTAAGTTATGCGTGTCCCCGCCAGTGAGTACCCATGGCTTCCATGAAACATCCGTCAGCATGCGGATGGCGTGATGATCCATTTTTGATAACTCTACTCACCGCATTATCAGCGTTACTGCTGCGGTCGGTGTCGAACGGAAGATTCACGGTCTTTGCAAAGTGGACATACTTTAAAGTATTCTTAGCTATAGTATAATATAATTACTATATACTTATAGGTGGAGGGATAGAGTTGCTATCAAAAGCAGCGAATGGGTACGTCCACCCCCGGAGCACCGTATTACCACGGCGCAAGTTCTGGACCGGAGGCCAGCAGTGGGATTGACCGGGCCGAAAGCTCGGGCAAACAAGACGCTGATAGTGACTGGGTCACCACCAGCACATCGATGATAGTGCTGCTGGCCCATCTTCAGCCTGGACATGATCTGGCCTGAAAGAGTCCTATGATACAAGCAGTGCCTTATATAGCGAATCATTCGCTCACATGATCACGGGTTTGCTCTCTAGGCTGCGTCGATCAGTGCCGAAAGTGTGCTACCTGGGGAAGCGACTTACTCTATCTTTTGGGCAGTATCCGACAGCCTGGCATAAATGCCTTTGCCAGTTATGGTGATGGATCAGAAATCAATCCGGCGAATCGTTGAAGACGACTTATGCCTCAAGAGCCAAAATGTCAAAGTACTATACAGAAATGACGTCCACGAGACATCCGTTCCTCGTTGTGCCTTGGTAGCGACTGACCATGGGCTGGCTATAATCCAAGACCGGCGCAAGTATCTCAAGATTGATTTTAATAGTGTCTCATTGAATAGTGGAAGGACAGGATACATAAGGCTTCAAGGCATGACGGAGCTTGAAAAACGCCGAAAAGGTGAGACAGGACAGGCACTTTCAACAATAAATTCTCCTAGCCCCTTGCGGTCCGAAAATCGGTATCAATACTCATTTAGCAAAAGAAAGTAGCATCAGATCATCTCCACAATACTCAATCGGTCTGCCAGCAGTCTCCGAATAACTGGAACGTCACGCCAATACAAGAGTAAAAGCAAACGAACAAAGGATTCCGTGAAAGCGCCTTCGTTTCATGCCCGCAGAAAACTGGGAAGTGAAAGTAGAATATGGCATCATGTGAATCGATGGCAGAAGGGAAAAAGGTGGGAAGGGATGAAGAGAACCAATAATGCCCAAATCAGACCACCTGGACGCGTACAAGGTATACTTGATGACTCCGAAATTGATCAGGTCCTTTGGGATGTATGGTGTGGTGTATGCAATCGTAGATGAAATGGCCAATTGAGAAAAGTATTTTTATCAACATAATTCCATGTTGACTCCTCATTCACGGTCCAGACAGAGAGATGCAGATATGCTACACTCTTGTTCTGGGGGTTGACAGATAGTTCTTTTCGAACAAATGGGAAGACACACATCATGGCGGCATTGTGTCGATTGATTTGTCCATTGGGAGAAGGAGAAGGGGAGCAAGTGCAAAGATCGACAAAGCTAATCCATAAAATCTCCTCGGAGAATCTTCTCTTGAAAGAAATCAGGCTTGTTCTGCTTTGGTTGTTTTGGTATCTCTCGAGCAGGTTGCTCCATTGAAGCAATGGAAGCAGCTCTCTGATGATAGCGTTGGTGTTCCGCAGTGGCCACATGTTGGCTCTGACCCGCGATTGGGGAGATGCCTCCAATGGATGGGGCACGCTCAGCCCGTGTTCGGAGAGCTTCCGACCAGTTGAAGCCTTCGCCTAAGGGTCGCCACGATTTGTTAGACATATCTTTCTGAGGAAAGCTTTTATTTGTACTTGCAACAACTAATGCAGGGGGGCTATTGGCAGATGCAGGACTGGTGGTCGTCGTGCTCCGGCGCCCTCCAGCCACAGAAGAGCCAGGGGAGGGATATCTACCATTGCCTATACTTCCACCACGAACATCTCGCATGGCCTGCGCACCAAAGGAGAGACGTCGTGCAAACGGCGAGCTGGGAGGAACGCTGGAAGAGCCGTTGTCTGTATCATCCACGGCCGCCTCGTCGGCGTTTGGACTTGACCCGACGGAACTAGACAAGCTGCCATGCCGAGGATTTCTGACCCCAAAGGGTGCAGTTTGGGTCGGCGAACCGGAAAGCCCAAGCGTACTGATTGACAACCTGCGTCGTTGATTTGGCTGGACATTGTTTACAGTACTAGCCATATGATTAGTTTGGCCGCCAGGCGGAGCCCCTGGGTTGCTTGATCTGGAGAGATAATCGGTGAATGAGAAGCCCGAGGATAGGGACGGCCGCCGTTGGCGGGCTGATGAGGATGGTACAGAGATTGGAGATGTAGACCGATCGTTTGACATGGTAGATCACTGAAAGAGAATTCGTAGTAGAAAAGAACAAGGATGCACCGACAAATGCACAAGAGATCAGGTTGATACAAAAGTTTCTTTCTGAGTAAATTGTCCAATGAAATGGCTATAGGGTTGCATTAATCAAGCATAAGTAGGCTGAAAATGTGAACCGCTAGACCGCCGTTGCTGTTGCGGGAAAGAAAGAGCAGAAATATAAATGATGGAAGTTGAGGAACGTTATCGTCAGTTGTCGAATGAATGGTGATCTGGATGTTTCACCGTCACAAGTATGTGACGTCAACCGCGGACAACTAACAGTGAAGGGAGAGGGATAGATTGATTGAGACAAGACACGAGGAGGAGAGGTCGATAGTGCAATAAAAGAATAAATGGCCCGGGGGGAAGGGTTCGGCAGATTCTAAGCAAAGGAAATTAGTAGGATGCTCCTCAGTACATGGATCAGCGGGTGAATGTGAGAGATCAGGCCATATTAGCAGTAATCAAATATGTTTGAGAGCGGCGAAAAACCACAACGGACACGCAAGGTAGCCCAAGGGGTAGCAGAGGGACCCTCTCGATCCTTCCAGTACAGCTTGGGGTACAAGAAGGAGACAGGAAGCTAAGGTGGCAAGAGAAAGAGCGGAATGTATGACAGAATATGTGGAATCAGAAGCTGTGTAGACGGAGAGTACGAGAGTAGGCAGGCGGGACAGGAAATCGGGTTGCGGGTTGAGTTCAATCAAGCAACAGCGAAGAAGCCAGTTGGAGAACGACGATATGAGGGACTGACATACAAGGACACTGTCAAGAAGTAGACGAATGAAGGACGAGGATGACAAGGATGGAAACACTGGCTGTGAATGACGATGGATGCGGTTGTTTCTGCTGTTGAAGATGCAGATTTGTGAAGGAAGAGAGGGAGAGAAAGAAAGAAAGGAAATGAAAGTAACTTGAGTGTGCTTGACGGACGATAGCAGGAGCTAGGCAGAGCTTACCTACCTTACAAATTATCTTTGCTTTTTTACCCCACACAAATCCACCTCCCATTCTTCCAATAATATCCAGTAAGCGTAAGGGTAACTCACTTAAGGTGATCAATTATATCAGGGTGCGAAGATCCATGGGTGATGATAATAAAATATCCATGACGATAAAAGGCTACGACAGACCAGACATAAGACTTTCCTATTGATTAATCATTATCATTTATCATCATCATCATCGTCATGATCATCATCCTTCTGCTCTTCCCATGGGCTCTGACCGTGGGACGGATTTGGTCTAGCCAACTGAACAAGTGGATCGATATCCACAGAAAGAGAATCCGGGGACCGTCAGACTAGTCCAGAAAAGGACTAGGGAGTTCAAATAGCAGAGGAATCAAGGAATCAATCCGGAAGTAACTACGGAGTAACTAAGGTAAGGTAGCTGTTGATTGAGAAAATTGGATTCTTTATAGAATGAACATCATCCAATGGTATCCTAAGTGATGGCATATGTAGAGCGTAATAACGCCCTTCACTCCATTAAGGGATGAATTAATATGTTTTTTATCTCTCTCTCTCTGGTATCTGTAAGCATCCCTCAAGTTCTCAACATCATCCTCATGTGAGGAGAATCATGGATCCACCCTGGCACTACTGCTTCTGGCTTAGCCTAAGAAGCTTCGGCTCTTTGGGGCTAGTGTTAACTTGATAAGTTCCAGGTAGGTAACACAGACTTTATCTCCACAAGTAAAATAGTCACAAGGTCTCGCCTAATCAATCAATCATCAAGAAGTTCTAAAGCTTACATACCTCACAGAGACCTTAGTACCAACCTAGTTGCTGCAGGATTGACTTTTTGAAACACTGCTTGAGCTACCCTGTATGATGTACCTACTATCTAAGGTATTCTAGTACATAGCTGGCACTAAACTACCTACACAGACAGAGGCAGAAACCTTTTCTACCCAAGACCGTTCCTACTCCATCATCGCCAGTGCACACTGTACAGTATTTATCTACCTATGTAGCTCTCTACTTATTGAGTCTATTCATAAGGAGTGGCAGGCTCCTCCCTACAATGATGACTACATGGCTTGAGGAAGGTAGGTCCCTAGCAAACATACTACAATCTGTGATACAACCTGTTGGTTGAACGGGTAAGCATACAAAAGTGGAGAACTCGTTTTTATATTATATACATGCTAGTTATGTCTATCTAGTTCATCGTGTTCTAAGTTTTAATTCGTGTGCGTCGTACTCGGTAGGCCAGTTCTATTGGTCCACAAGCAGGGACTCACGGTCATGCATCTTGAGCTTGATCTTGTATGCAAAAAGCGACGCTGCATTGTGACTCAACTTTCTCAAGAGACCGGAAAGTGGTTGCGACTTCGTTTAGTTGGGTAGCGACGTGTGATATACCGGAAACCCGTGGCTTGGGTGCTGCGTGTGGAATAACCGAATGAGCCTCTCGCCGACACTCGGCTCGATTTCAGTGCCATCCCGGGCAATCTTGACTTCGCGGTTTGCATTCCACGGATTGCGAAGACCTCGGGTGCGATGGAAGGGGACCCGTTCTGTTGAAAGCCATTGGACCCGGAACGGCCTTCCTATCGATTGGAATCCCGACTCGGCAGCTTCTTCGACTAATTCTGCAGCGTCCTTTTCGTTCCCACCCCCAATCTCATCCTCCTCACTGTTCTCTTCCCCCTTCTCTTCCTCCTTCCCCTCACCACTGTCATCGTCACCACCACCACCACCACCACCGCCATCACCGTCGTCATCATCTTTATCATCATCATCATCATCATCATCATCATCATCATCATCCTCGGATGAATCCGCTTCCCAGAATATGGTTCCTCGTGCAGAGTCATCTATGATTCGTCCGGCTGGCGCGGTGGCTGTAGCCTGAGTTGGAATCACGTGCAATTCCTCTGGCTCAGGAGGACCATGGTCAGGTCGCACGGGCATCTCCAGAGCTAAGCTTTCATTTTCCTTGATAGGCGACATCATGCGAGCATATCCATAGTACTCTCCGGACTTGTTGGCGGAGAAGATTAAATAAACATTGAAGGCACTCTAAAATGTAGCAGTCAGTGCAAGCGGCTCTCGCATCGCTTCCCAACCAGTAAGAAGTGAGAAAGTAGGTAGAAAAGAAAAAGCCACTCACTTCATAAGCTCGATTGAGATTATCCTCGTTATGACTTTGGGTTGCCCAGATTCCGCTTTGTCTACTTAATTCCAAGTCGCCGACCGTGAGGCTTTTGACTATGAAGTACCTGTTAGGTAGCCTTAGATTTGCGTGCCTGCCATGGCCAGTACGTGTCTCCAAAGTTTCTTCAATCTCTGGGTTACTGTCTAACAGCTTTGAACCACTGTTTTCGTTCACAGGCGACGTGGTCGAGGAGCCGATATTGGAGGTCTTCCCAGGAGAGGCCAACCCTCGCCGTAGGCGACAAACGAGCCTCACCCCGTGAAACCTGGAGTCATGAAATCGAGACAAGGCTGCGATGCAGGCAGATTCTGTTTTGTAATTGATGAAGGCGCAATTGCTCTTCGATATGAGAAATACACTTTGGATGTCCTTCGTAGCGTCTTGAGAGAAGTGATCCTTGAGATCCACGACGTTTGTCCCAGCGGGGAGATTTCCGACCCAAAGAGCATGGCCAGACTGCTTGGGCTTCCGAGGAGGTCCCCAAGGAGTACCAGACCCTGACGTGGCTGGTGGTGGAGTCGAGTCTGTGCATTGACATCAGCGGAATGGCGAACGAAATGCGCATACCTCCCATTGTTGTATGACAGCCGTTGCGTTCTTACCTGTTGAGGTATTCTGGGTGGTTGTCGGTCTCATTGGTGTTGAGCCGTCAACGATGGTTCTGGAAACATTATAATTCGCTGTGGGGGCCTTTTGCTGGCCTTCTCTTGGCAAGCTGGAGGGCACTTGGGCAGCTAGCCCTGATGTGTTGTGATATTGACTACTGGGAGGCAAGTAAATCGAGGGGCCAGGTGGACCTTGACCGTGTCCAACCGCCGCTGTATAGATGTGCTGAGGATAATAGCCAAGCCCAAAAACAATAGTCTGGTTCGAAAGAGGGACGTTGGAGGGTGCGGTCATGTTCGGCACGAACAGCTGATAATCGGGAATGCCATGCTGGAGAGAAGTATTCTGACGATGATGTTGATGCTGCTGTTGGTGGTGCTGCGGCTGCTGAGCGAAAGGTATGTACATTTGGGAATAGTGAGCATTATAAGAGACAGTCCTGCCCGATGTGGAGTCGGCAAACGAGGGTAATGGTTGCAAAGGATATAAAACGCCATGCGGGTGAATCGCAGCAGGGACTTGCATAGGAGGCTGATTGTAGCCCGGTAGCGTGGACCTCATATCGCCCATGTTCATGGCCGACGGAGGCGCTCCACGGCCATGCGATTCCGGGTGCTTGTCAACATTCTCAGATCGCGGGGGATTCCGGCGAAAAGTGCCTGGATCTACCAGAAGGTGAAAGGTGTTCTCGTCAGCGCAGCATAATAAAAGTAACAGAACAGAAGCCGAATCGGATCGACTTTGCCAACCAACATAGCTCTTCTCCCTGAAACATTTTCGCCTGGGTTTCGCTCAGAAGAGAGAGAAAAGAAAGAAAGTCTTACCAGATAGTGGCTGCTGAGCCCTTGAGTGGCCGACTCGCTCCTCTGAGGAGACTCGTCTGCCGTCTGATGCTCCCCCAGATTGGTTGGATTGTTTTGAAGGAGCATTATCCATCGGAACTGCAATTGAGCGCATAGAAAGAAAGTCAGAATCGTGAAAAACCAGATCCTGTTCACGGGGAATTACTGTCGCAGACTTTTCCTCCGGGAAATCTCAGAATCGGAGGACCGTAGCAGAAGTCAACGTACCTTTCTTTTCTTTCAAGATGTACTTCACACTGCTATCTATTCTGGTAACAGTTCAACGCGGACTATAACAACTAGAGGATTTGCCCACTGCTGGTTAGAACCCAAGATCATCGGCCGTAAATGACAGGTCGA